GAATGGCTGTTCCCTGGCCAAATGAATTCTCTGTTTGTTATGTGCCAGTGGGATCACTGTGACAAATCCCACTTTTCCAGGTTTGGCTAGGGATGGGCTGCAGCCCCAAATCTGTGGAGGGGGAGAAATGTGGGAAGTGGGGGCACTGCAGGAAAATCTTCCCCTTCAGCCACAGCACTGCACTCCCTGTCCAGTGCCTGGCAGGATTTACCAAGGAAGGACAATATATCTGATATATTGGGGAAACAACACATGAAAAAGCAGCAATGGAAGTTTTAAAAATTCAGGTCAGAAGATAAAGGCAAACAGAGTCAGAGGAATCTCATTTTTGAGCACACGCTCTGCAGGCAGGAATGGAGTAAATAGGATTTGTTGGGCTATTCTTTTGGAGAAGGAAGAAAAGACAGAAAGGGGTCAAGTCCATATCTTTCTTGTGTTAGAACTCATTTTTTCCCTCTCCAGGTCTTAGGCAGAGCCAGGCCTCCAGGAACAGACACAAGAGGAGAATTTGCCAGCTCGTGTCTTTGAGCAGATGCCACATTGTTAATTTTTCATCACACCACAGCCACGGTGGCATCAACTCTGGACCAAAATCCCCCTTTTTTGCAGGACACAACACTGCAGGGATCTGTCAGCCACTCTTACAGTTCCACAAGAAAAGAATTCTCATTTTTGTTAATGTTCTAGGTATAAAGACTCAGCACCCTCAGTGTTCACTCAGTCCAGCTCATTTCCACCCACTGGGAATATCCTGCAGGATGCAAGCCAGGTGTCAGATTTTCCAGAACAATCTGTGCCTGCTCCTTGCTTTGCTTCATTCCTTATTTTCTCATAAGCAATCCCTTACAGCTGAACAAAATTTGATCTTAAGGCCTTTCCCTGCTGGAAAGGAAACTCCAAAATCCTTTGTGACATAAAATAATAATTCATAAAATTAATTTTAAAACTTTTTCCCATAATAGAAATAAGGTTGTAAATTTTACAAAGCAGCCACTAACTTTACAAGTATCTCTATTTTCAATCTCTGTAATTTAAATCTGGCACAATATCCCAGCCACTGTGACCTTTTAAAAGGCAGACATTGCTACCTCACCTGGGATTTTTGGAGGAACTCTTAAAATATTGCTCTATTTGGCATTGAAGATGAAATTATTAAAACCCCTGGAGGGAGCAGGGTACTGTTTGCACACCTGAATGGATTTTTACCCTGCTCAGAGCCCATCATTAGCAGGAAGTGTGGATGTGAGACAGAACAAGGCAGAGATTTTGGAATTGTGTGGAGTGACAAGGCAATAAGCAAATAATGAAGTGGGCTGAAGCAAAGTCTCATTTATTGAGCCATCAAAGCTCCTGACTCACACATCTGTGACAGTCTGTCCGAAATATCCCTCATCTGCCTCTCAGTTGTCATTGGGGACCACTGAAGAGAAGACCCCCCTGTCGAAAATCTCTGCTCTGTCACATCCCACAAGGCCCTGAGGCCTGAGAGCGTTGCCAAGCCATTGTTTGCACAGGTGTTGTTTGCTGTACACTGAGCCCAATGAGAAGAAGAAGGGGGCACTGTGCCCTTTGTGCAACAACAGCCTTGGGAGCTGTCCCACCTCTCGGCCTGGCTGGACTTCTCCTGAGTTCAGGTGGTCCCCACAGCAGACCCTCACCTGCTTTACAACCACCATGACAGACAGACTGAGATGTAAGGAGCCTCTCCATCAAGGGCTGAGACATGGCACCCCCATGTGAAAAGGCCCCTCTGCTCCTCCCAAGGACTGAGACTGAAACCCCTGTGTGAAAAGGCCCCTCTGCTCCTCCCAAGGACTGAGACTGGAACCCCCATGTGAAAAGGCCCCTCTGCTCCTCCCAAGGACTGAGACATGGAACCCCCCCATGTGAAAAGGCCCCTCTGCTCCTCCCAAGGACTGGGACTGAACCCCCCAGCCCGGGGCAGGTGTGTGGGGCACCAAAGCTGACCAAAGCGAGATGTTTGCCTGCAGGTTGTGACCACTGGACCACAACAACAATGGCTCTCGTTTACTGCTGAGAACATGGGCTACCTGTTTCATCTATTCCTTATTGTATCTGTTTCCCCCCCTCACAATTTACAATAGAGTTATCACAATAAAAACCTCTGAGTTAGCCAGAGACTTTGAGATCTCCCCGATGTAACAGGCGGATCCTCGGCTGGACTGGACCAAAGGACTTCATCTCTACGTTTGGTAGCTCTATCCCCCTCTTTCTCTCTCCCTCTTTTCTCTCTCTTTCTCCATCTTTTCCTCTCCCTTAATCCCTCTATCACATTTTTCTGTGGTCATTCAATAAAGGTGCATTTGTTTTGATTATCATTGCAAACCCCCTGTGTCATGTCGGGTTTTTTTGCACCCTGAGATCAAATCCATGACCCATCACAAAACCCATTCATAAGTGTGGATCATGACAACATGATCCATCCTTCAGCTCTGCAGGCAGAGGAATTGCTGTGCTGGACCCCAGCCAGGATGCTCAGCTGCTCCTGGGGTACCTGGCACACCTTGGGTGAATTTTCCTGGCCCAGGAGGGGGATGCAGGGAGGGGAAAAGAGAGAACAGGGAGAGCAGAGTCACTGGGCAAGCACTGCCTCTGCCAGGAGAGGGACTCTGCACAAGAGCAGGTAGGATAGGACAAGTGGGAATGGGCTTTAGCTAAAGAAATGTGGATTTAAATTGGATATTTGAAAGAAATTCCTCCCTGTGAGGGTGATAAGGAACAGGTTGCTCAGAGAAGCTGTGGCTGCCCCATCCCCGGAAGTGTCTAAGGCCAAAAATAATTTAATTTATTATTTATAATTCAATTTATTTATTTAATAAAATAAATAAAAGAAGCTACACTTTGTAATCAAAGCTTCAGATTTACTGAATTTGAGCTTTCTCCTTCAGAAGTTACCTTGAAAAATATTGTCTTTTTCTTTCAGCTCTAATTCCAATCAATAGTATTGCAACCTGTGGTATGCAACTGGTATTAAATTGCAATAACTAAGCACTTCCAGCAGAAAATCAAATAAAGTGGCATTAAATCAACTGATAGACACCTCCCTGCTCTTATTTTAACAGAGAATCTGCTCCTGCAGGGGGCTGGCACCATACATGAAAGGCTGATTTTTCCTGCCTTCTTCATGGAATATGAACATCACTTAGCAAGGCAGAGGGAAGATTTCTGAGGTCATTAGCATCTCTAAATAGTGAAAGGTTCAAACCCACAGCAAACCATAAAAAAGGAAGAGAGGTGTCACTATGGAAAAGAGAAAAAAAATGCAAGAAAAATATCTAAGCGCAGACTTTTCAAAGAAAACAAGATAATGCTGTCTCTTCACACCTATTCAATTGCCATGCTAAAACCCACAAACTTTCCAGGGTATAAAGCAACTTTTACTGTCACTGACAGAACTGAATTTATGAGCATTTCTGAATTTCCACAGAAATTGAGACTAACAATACATTTATGGCTAAGCAGGCACATGAATTTTTGTGTCCAAATTACCAAATTAAGTCAAACAGGACTATAATTATAGAAAGACTTCAAAGGAATTCAATCTAGAAATATTTCTTCCAGAGAAGAATTCTCCAACTTTGGAAATTCGAGTAGGTAGGACTCTGACTGACATGACTTGCAATCAATACTGATTGATCCAATAAATTCTTATTTCTAAATGCACCAAGCTGTCCTTGTACATTGTTATTTTCCAGAGGGTTAAAAAAAATACAGCATTTCAAGGATATTTTAAGTATTGGTTGTCAGGAAATGGCTTTCAGAGCATTAAAAGCCTGATCTAAAAGGTAATTCTGAAGGAATGAATAGTTTGATCATTGTCACTTAATTGTCACCCATGTACTTGAAGGGTTTGGATCAGTCTGTCCATGATAATTTTCAGGTGACTGAAACAATACTGCCAAAGCATTTTACTGATGTAGTTATAGATATTCCCTTGGCACAATTGTCATTGTTTCTACTTTCTTCCTATTTTTCCCTTTTTTTAAAACCCTTCTCTGTCATGTTTGAATAATTTCATTTACTTTGCGTTTATAAAAGAAATAATTCTTCAAATCAAATAACAGCAATTTGTTTCAATATAATCCATTGGCAAGTCACTAATATTAGGCTAGGAAACAAATTTTAAAAAGGTAAAAATATAATTCAGGTTAAATAAAAAAAAAACTCTACAGCAATAGGCTTCCATTTCCTACTCCACAATTATCTTAAAATCAGGTTTACTTCTCATATTTTGGGAATTTCTCCTTAAAAGTTTGCAGAGCCCCAGGAAACTTTAACAGCAAAATCCAACCTGGCTGTAATTAGGTAAAATTTTTAAAACTCTCTCATTCTCTCCAGATACCAAAATAAATCAGACTCAGAGTAAATTGAGGGGGTGGAAGAGAACAGCGTGAGCAGGGCAGGAAGTCTGGTGGATCCAGGCAGGGAATTCCCTCCCCTTGGTTTTGGGGTTTATCAGAACTTCCAGCTGAATTCAATTTACAGAGCAGAAACCTTTCCTTGCAAATTCCACCTGTAGGCTAAATTTGAAGCTTTTAGGGCTGGAGCTTTAATTCCAGACCCCCAAACTCCGGCTGGCTCACAGGGGAAGTGCTGTAGACAGGAAGAAAATGTTGTTTTCACCCACAGTCCTGACCATCCAAAGCCTTAATTTAAGCTAGTTTTGCTATTTCCCCCCACAGGAGCAAAAGGAGAAAGGTACCACCAGAAAATTGATTTTACACGTTTGTACCCTGCCTAGCCAATCTCTACATGACATCATTTTTTTTAACCTTATGGTTGCACTGTGGTTTGGAGCTGGTGCACACACGTTCATTAACGTGAAAAAAAAAGAAAAGAGCAGCTCCAGTAAAGTCTGTCAGACCGAGCCAAAAACATTCTGTACTGTCTTCTTTCCTCCAAGAACATCTTTATATTTAGAAATGAGCTGATCAGGATTGCTTGCACCATTTTGGAGAGAACAGATGGCCAGTTCTTACCTCCTTCTTGGTGAATTCTGGCGCGTGGTCATTTTTGTCGTCAATGAGAATGGTGGCAGTGGCTGTGCCTGTCAGTCCCACATCCATCCCACCCATGTCCTTGGCTTCTATCACCAGCTCATACTTTGGGCTTTCCATGGTCTGAAAGAAAAAAAATAAAAATAGAAAAGGAAATGTTAAGGGAAAAAAAAAAAAAAACAACATAGAGGCAATATACTATTTTTAATTAATATTAAAATAATAATTTTTTTAAATCACAAGACTTTATTTGGCCTAATAAAACATAGCAGAGAAACAGGTCTGTTATCACAGTTTTACTGAAACACAAGCACAGCTTTCTATGAGATCAGCTGCTACTCTGGAAGCCTCATTTGCAATCCAGCATGAAGGTGATTATTGGTAAACAGTACATAATTTATCCTGTTATTTAGGAAGATTAGGAAAGAGGTAAGAAATTAAAATATACTTGCTCTTTAAGAGTAAGCTCTACCTTCAGTGCACCAATATTTAGCAGCTTTCTTCATCAGTGTTATGATGGGTACATAATTAAATACTAATGTCACAATCTACATATAAATTCACTTTATTAAATCCCATTCATTCTGGGTATTAGCATTTAGACTGGTAATCTAAGTTTGCTCCACGGCAAGAAACAAAAAAACAGTTTCCAAAACAGGCAGAGACTTCCAGTTATTGCCCAAAGCCAATGTTCAGGGTGATATTAATGGTTTTTATTGCTGATATCTGATTGCCACAGGTGCTTATGCCATGGCTACTTCTCTGGCTGCCCACCTCTGCAGAGCCAGACAGCACAGGCCCACAGCAAAATCCAAATTAATTTCCTCTCATAAAACACAGCCTTAATGTGGAAAAAAACCCCTCATTTGTGGTCAGTTCTGGAATGGGGATGTGGCAGCCTTTGGAATTCCCATCTGTCCCATCAGGGATGGAGCTGGAGCAGGGCTCAGCAGGAGCTGTCAAAGCTGATGTTCTGATGTTCCCAGCACCAGGCCCTGCTCCCCTGGCACTCCTAGGGAATTCTGGCATGGGTTTCAGTGGCTCTTCACTAAAATGAGTTTTCTGGGGCTGCCTCAGGTGGAAGCACCTGCCCAAAGCCCATGTGAGCACAGAGGCCACAGCTGGGCAAGGGCTGCAGGAACTTCTGGAGCCACACAGTGAGAGAGAACCTCACATTGCCCAGGGATGTTTGTCCAAACCCTCCTGGACAACAAACCTGCAACCCATGGGGAAAACTGCAACAAAGCCGCTGCTTTTGGAACCTCTTGGAGCTGTGTCTGCAAGAGCCCAGGGCTCCCAGCTTTGACATTCCCTCATCCATGTCCTTTATCCAGAATTTTTCCAGGGAATTGGACACAGCCCAGCAAAGCAGCCTCAGCCTCTTGGGTCACCCAGGCTCCTTTACATCCAAGGGATTTGGAAGATTTTCCCAAATTGTGAATTTTGCACCTCTTGGAGCTGTGTCTGCAAGAGCCCAGGGCTCCCAGCTTTGACATCCCTCATCCATGTCCTTTATCCAACAGTTTTTCAGGGAATTATCAGGAATTGGACACAGCCCAGCAAAGCAACCTCAGCCTCCTGGGTCACCCAGGCTGGTCTGTAGCCAAGGGATTTGGAGCTTTCCCCAAACTGTGGATTTTGAATTTTATATTTTCCTGGGCACATCCCATCATTTTTATTTTGGAGCACATGTGAGAAGGAGATCCCAGCTCCTCAGTAGGCAGATTCTGAAGCATTTTTAGGCCAACAGAGAAGCAACCACCTCTCTTGCTCTTCAGATCAGCTATTATGAAACAATAAATTTACATGTTAAATCAACAAGTCGAGCCAGAAGATAAATTTTGTTCTAAAAACATAGGTAGTGCTAGGAAATCAGATGCCACTGCCACACAGGGGATCCTAAGAAATGTATTTCCTGTGGTCTTACAACATTATTCCATGAAATTCATCTCAGAAGGTGGCAAAGCAAGACCAGGAGTTTGATTTATAACATCATAAAAACAAATGCAAAGAAGTATTACTGACATGTCTGCAACACAAACTCACACCATAGAGGGGAACTGAATTTATAGTTTTCATATATTTGTTTCCTAAAGTGCATTAAAACCTGAATGAGACTTCTCTCCCCTCTCCTGGCTGTGACTTTTTCATTATTTTGATTAGAAAGTCATTATTATTGTATGGAAGACATGCAAAGCCATTTATCACTTCATGTTTATAAGCCTCTTTGCTCAGAAAGCCCATTTTAAGTCACAAATTGGCCTTTTTTCCTTTGAAAACCATCCCATTTTCTAGTGAAAGCAAGCCCATTTATGCTAGAAATTGCATCTACTGCAGCAGGAAATGTCTGTGACAGGAGTCCAATGTTTAAGCTCACACAAAACGTGAAAAACATTGAATTTTGAGTAGTATTTCATACAATTATGAATACTTCACACTTCCCTGCTATGCAGCACTTCCTACAACTCGTTCTGACACCAAATATTTGCCTTGTTAGAGGCAGCAGCTGCTAACAGATGCAAACCCTGAGCAGAGCTTGTTCCCATCACGGGCTCTCTTTGCACTCTCTTGTAAAGGACCTTGCAGAATCTTCCTGCCTCCAGCCCAGAGGAGCCAGCAGGGATTGTTTGGAGCAGTGGGATTCACCAAAATCCTGGATTTCTGCGGGCAGACAGGGATCCCTGTGCTGCCAGCAGCCCCGTTCTGCAGGGATGCTGCTGCAGGGATGTGCTGGGGGGTCAGGGCTGCTCTGGAAGATCTCAGGGCACCTCCTCAGCATCTCCCTCTTCTCAGGGCTCAGAGCTTGGACCCCAGTGTGTTCCCCCTCCTTTTCCTCCTATCCTGTGAGGAATTAGTGCTGCTGGAAGGAGGAAGTGGGGGATTGTGACTGTGTTCACAGGGGTCTGAGGGTGAGGGCAGAGACGAGGATCTGGCTCCATGTTTCACAAGGCTGATTTATTATTTTATGATATATATTATATTAAAACTATATTAAAAGAATAGAAGAAAGGATTTAATCAGAAGGCTGGCTAAGAATAGAAAAAAAAGGAATGAATAACAAAGGCTTGTGTGTCGGACAGAGAGTCCAAGCCAGCTGGGCTGTGATTGCCCATTAATTAGAAACAACCACACGAGACCATCCCAGATGCCCCTGTTGCATTCCACAGCAGCAGATAACCATTGTTTGCATTTTGTTCCTGAGGCCTCTCAGCTTCTCAAGATGAAAAATCCTAAAGAAAGGATTTTTCATAAAAGATGTCTGCGACAGGGGAGAACATCCTTCCTTCCCCATCTCCATCCCTGCCCAGCTGAAGGGATGCAGCACCCAAAATTTGATCATTTTGGGACCCCACAGAGACTCAGACATGTCCCACCAAGTCATTGATTGTCACTAAACCCAATCCTGCTCCTCAGTGACCTAAGCACAGCCCTGCAGAAGCAATGCAGTCAGTGGACAGTGAGATGTCAGGAACAGAAATAAGCCCAGTTCCCACCGAGTGGGATCTCCAAAGGAGAATGGGTTATTGTAATAAATGAACATCAAGTCCCTGCTGGTGTGGTTTGTTATTTATCAGCTGTGACTCTGTGGGGTGTGACACTGTTGAGAGCTTTTGTACAATTACAGCAGGGGAACCATTCCTTTCCCCATCAATTTTCCCTGCAGCCACTCAGCCGGGCCAGGGTGGCACTGCCAGCTTGTGGAGCTGAGCTGTGTCCTGAGTGCTGCCCTCCAAAGGTGCCCTCCCTGCCATCCCCAGCAGATCCCACAGACACAGCTGGCTCAGCAGCACAGGGCAGGCAGAGCCCAGCAAAGGCATTTTCTGAGTTCAGCTTCCTGACAAAAGCAGCAGGAGCTGCCCCCAGCACAGGGAATGAGCAGCGCAGTGCAGGCACTCACAGGTGGAATGATCCAGGGAGAGCTGCTGGGTGATGCTGAATGAAAGCAGATGCTGATGGGTTTCTGCTGGGATTTAATCTCTCAATATTACAGATACAATGAAAAGGGAGTGAAGAGAAGCAAGCCCTGGCTGGGAGTATTTCACACCAGCAGCAGGGACAGTCCCAGCCTTGGTCTGGGCTGTAGGGCATCCAAATTCAGCTGGCACTGGCAGCATCACCAGTGCAGCAGGGCTCAGAATGTAAGGTGGGAAGCAGTGGAAGCCCTTGGGTGGCTGCAGGGAAGGTTTAGGGCCCTTGAGGCTGTGATTCCCTGCAGGGGCAGCCAGCAGCAGCTTTCCCCAGGGCCCTGTTCAATGTTCCTCCAGTGCCCCCTGCAAGGCACCCTTGGATTGCATATTTTGGGCAGTGCCCAGCACCAAGCCTTCCTTTAGTGCTTCAGTCCTCATCAAAATAAAAAAAAAATATTAGAGAGAATAGAAATCCCCAAATTCCCAGAAATTGCTGAAATCAAAACAAATTCTGTTTGTGAAGCAAACAACACAGAGAACATTCAAAATGCTTAAAAGTGTTTTAAGGATCCTTTCAATGCTAATTATCAGAAGAGAGTTTTCTGACTATTCCATGGATATTTGTATTTCTGTAATGATGGAGCAGTGCCTCAACTCTTCTATTTATAATTCTGTTTATAAACTATGTATTCATGCATAATTCTGTATCAGGAGTGTGCTGTAATATCATATTTGGTACTAATGACTTTATAATATAATGCTAACCAGAAAGAAAAAATTTTCGGATTGAAATAATTTCAGTTGGTGCTAAATAAATGCTTGTGTTCATTTAAGATGATAATTGCATATAATACATACTGAATATGTCCTATTAAGACATAATCAATGTTCTTGTTGAGTAACAATATCAACATTGAATCTAACATTATCCCAGAGTATGCTTGTCAGGATTTTGACAAATGTAAAATTAAAAAAAAATGAAGCAAAGTGACTATTAGCAGCTCTAACAGACATAATGCTTTGATAATTATAATATCAGCATTTATTTTAAATGCCAGTTGCTGCTGCTTAAAAAGGGTGATATACACAGAGGCTTTGCATTTAGAGCTTGAATTACAGTTTGATGAATAGAAAAACCCAAACTCTTTTGTAACATTAATCCTCTTTAGCTCACCCATTTCCAATTTTTTCATATCATAAAGGAAAGTCTACAGT